TCTTTTTTGAATAAACTTGTAATTAAACGGGCTTATTTACAGTTATACGAGTTTTATTCAAAGGTTTGCTCCTCTTCAAATTATACGATGTGCTTCCGTTTACTGTTAGTATTATTTGCCTTTGCCGGGACTATATAAGAAAATATGATGCTGTACATTATTTAAATCTTGAGACTGAATAAAATACATAGCAATATTCGAAGCATTTCAGCACCGCCGGATGATGACTTTGTTTCATACCAGTTCTTTTCCAAATGGCCCCATGCAGTTGGCCAAGCCACTTCATGACTACGATAAAAGCAGATGCCACACCTGCTCGAATCTTCCGATTGAAGAATATCTCTTGTAATAACTAAAACATTAGGTCATTCCACGCACGCAAGTGATGAACATATCGCCACTCTTTTCATGATATTGCTACATAACCTTAACGGCATCGCATCCAACAACGGAAATAAAATTGACGGCTTCGTTCATATCAACAGTGCAAAATAATGGCCAAGACTTTGAGCAAATACTATCTAGTTAATCAATGAAGAAAATTTTCCCGCCGCTGAACATTATATAATAAAATTTCCTAAATTAGAATTGATGTATTCATTCTTGAGTCTGCGCTGTTTCTAAAAAGCAGTTGTAGGGTAAATAAAAAATTATTTGTGTTTGAAATAAATTTACGACGTGTCTTAATTCCATAATATTATCTTATGAGCTTGGTCACTCCATCTCCGCCCAGCCTGACATCCCCTCCAATCGCCGAACGCTTACTTTCTTTCTATCTCAGCATTACATTCTCAATTCCGTCATTATAACTTTTGCATGTTTTTCATTTTGTCGCTTTTTTCACTCTCCTTGTGTTTCTACTTTGGCCACCGATCAGGTAAAAACGGCCTCACTCTGAATTCATCTCCGCTTCGGACTTGTTCTTTTCCCTCCGTTTCCACCACTATCACCACTCATGACGATCAAACCTTCCTTCTCCAACGCATCCAATCTGAATAATGCCAATCCAGCATTGCATCTTGTTACTCTGGCCTTTAACAAATAAACAACACTCCCCGGATATAAACTGAACGGGTAAATTGGTACTCATGCGTTTTGGATAAAACAACGAGCGATTCGAACACAACATTCAGTAATTTACGACTCTGCTTCAACAAGACAGATGGAACGCCGAATTCGGTGATTACTTAGCTACTTGTGAAAGATTTGTCCCTGCTGCTTGGCATGCCGGTTTTAGAGCAATGGTTATTCGATTAATATTACGTATTAAAATTTAATTCACGTAATATAGTAATTATATCAGTAATATTATTAGTGATATAACAAAATAGTAATAAGCAAGAAAAAAGAAAAGATATTCGTTTCCATAATGTAACAATAATGTACTGCAGATTTGTATATAAAATAGTGACATGTTATAAGTTCAATTTGCACTAAAACGTATTAAATTTGGCTGTATTTTTCTTTGTTAATGTGTCAAACAACTAAAATATGCAATTTGAAAGTATCAGTAACGGCAATATATTAGTTAAAAATTGCGTAGAGAATCCAGTTGACAGACATCCGTTCAAAAAATCTAATAGATGAGACATTACCGGAATACGGACTTAATAATATAGACATTTGGAACTACTATTTTGATTTATGTAACTAGATCCTCATCAACGGATGTGTCTCTTGTACAGTTAGTATTAGTATTAGGTAAATACCGTAATATTCGTGTGCGCACAACATATCCAAGAACTTGACATGGTGATAAGATACACTGAAGCGAAATGCCAATTACTGAAAGTCATACGTCTATATAATCATGCATGTACGACGTTATTGAAGAGCCCAAGACGAGAAAAAACTTTTGGTTGTGTGCTTTCAGTAACAGTTATAATTTAAGAGTTAAAGTCAAATTCTTCAGTAGAGAGAGATTCTT